TAAGAGACGCCGGGAGTGTGCAGAGCCCACGTTTACTACCGCTGGCACCTCCAAAGCCTCCCTCCTTAATCCTGTCTCAAACGGGTACCAGCACAGGGCCAGCAACGTGATCCGACCTGCCGCTGCTGCCACATCACTGCGCGGGGAAGCCGTGCGCGCGCGCGCTCGCCCTGCAACCGCGGCGCTGGGCGCGGGGAGGCACGGGCCAGCACGAGCGGGCTACCTTTCCCCGGAGCCACCCCGGAGCGTGACTCACCGCCAGGGAGAGATACCGGGAGGTGCCGGAGACGCGCGCTGCCCGCGCCGCCCTGCGCAGCGGCCGGCAAAGGACCTGGGAGGCCAGGGGAGCCTCCCAGGTCTCTGCCGGGGGTGGGATGGAGGGGATATTGAGTAATCTTGGTATACATATAGGTATAGATCTAAAGCCAAGGCTTTTCCTGCACCGAAAGTAATATTTACATTCTCCCCGGTGATCCCCGAAACAGTTACTGCCCGTGGCACGTGAACCAAGGGGAGAAGGACGCCGAATGTACACGCGCTGGGGCGCAGCAGGGGCTGGGGCGCCCGCTACGTGTCCCCCGGCCCGCCCCGCCAGGCACGGGTTCCGGGGACGGATCTGGGTCGCTGGAAGCGGCGGCGGGGAGGAGGTCACGTGTCTGCGGGAGTCGCGTCTCCTCTCCGCCTCCAGGAGCAGCCCTGGCCGCGGCCGCCGCTCGCGCTGCTGCAGTCTCCCGAGTCCTGGGCGGAGACGCGCACCGCGTCTGGCTTCGTGACTCGGGCGGCGGCAGCGGCTGCGGCCCAGGATCACCCCGGCGCGGGGAGACGCTCGCGGTCGGTCCAGCAGGTCCTTTAAGGTCTCTCGACATCCTCAAATAGGGGCACATATTTTTGCACTAAACTGGCAGGTTAATCAGGATAATACTTAAAAGTATTTTTCAGAACTGATTTTATTTTACACCCTGGTCCGACCTGTCTCCTATTTCCAAGTGGTTAGGTAATTCTGTCCCTTGGATGGGGAGGGCAAGCCGGGCCCCTAAAAGCGACATATCCCTGCAGTACTGCATTATTTTTCCTTCTTGTTCTTAATTGACCAAAAAGCGGGGAGGGGGGGATGCCATTAGGTGAATAATTTAAAAATTTAAAACCCTTGTAGGTTTCTGAATGTTTGAGGTAGGAAGGAGATGTAAATATTTGCTCCAGAGCTAAATTTTACGTGAAAATGAGCTATTTAGTGAAAATGAAATAAAGACGGATCACTGCATCTTGGCCTTGCCAGTAGAGCAGAAACAGGAGGTAGACATCCGACCAGGACAGACCTTAGGGACTAAGTCTGGGGCAGACACTAAAGTTAAAATTGGAAGGACAGAGTCAGGAGCCTAAAGGATCAAGGGTGGGTTAAATTAGCATGCAAATATCCCATAATTTAAAGAGAGAGAGAGAGTTGTGGCTGCACATGGCAAAGCCTTTTCACTTATCACTGGGAACTCTCTCTCCCCATCCCTCCTGCCCAAGCTTTCCTACTTCTGCAGTCAACTTTCGTGTTTTCTCTTCCATTCCTGTCCTCTTCCCATATCCTGCTCAAGCTGTAAATGAGGTCTTTCCCCATTTTTAATCTCCTTTTAATTCTTGATCTTCCTTTTCCTATTCTTTTCTGCCTTTCCTTTTTATGCCCACCTTTTTTTAAAAACTGTTTACCTTTTTCATTTCTTCCTTATCTTCATTTCCCTTATGTTCTCCTATGTTTACTTTTTCCCTAATAAATGTCTGCTTTTGTCCTTTCCCTATATATTTTTTCTATTTCCTGTTTGCTTTTTGCCTTTTTTGCCTTAAATTTTTCACCCTGGTGACTCTTCTTGCCTATCTACTTTCCTTAAATTAGAATCACAGCAGTCCTTTTCTTTCTCAAACACGTGCCTTCTGGAATATTGGCAATAGTTTGAGGCCTCTGAACATTCCTTTGCTGCAAGGAGAGTATAACGATCTTAACTGGTATATAGCATTTAGGATTTGAATACCAGAGTGCTTTTTTTTTTGAGTCGGAGTCTCACTCCTGGGTTCAGGTGTTCCTTCTGCCTCAGCCTCTCAAGTAGTTGGGACTACAGGCGCACACCATGCCCAGTTAATTTTTTGATTTTTTGATAAAGAAGAAGTCTCGCTATGTTGTCCAGGCTGGTCTCGAACTCCTGGGCTCCAGCAGTCCTCTCACCTCGGCCTCCCAAAGTGCTGGGATTACAGGCATGAGTCCAGCTCTCCAGAGTGCATTCTAAAGAGTTTTTTATGCATTAACTGATTAATCCTTTTTACAATTCTATAATGTAGATACTATTATTGTTTCCATTCTACAGATGACAATATACTTACATAATGAGATGACAAAATGTGTCCAAGGTCCTAGAGCCAGGATTTAAACCCAACTGTGGGTTGCAAAGTCTGCGCCCTTAATGATTACCCCTTGGTGTGATGTAAGGGGTTAGGTCTGGATGTCAACTAGCTACTTCTGGGGTGTTTTCTATGTATCATTGTGAGTGTGGGCATTTCTGCTTGTGTGTATGTGTGAACCAGTGTGAGAAATTTTGCAAGAGAGTTGGGGAAGGGGAAAATGTTAACTTTGGAGTGGATGACAGGGAAAGCAAAGATATAACAAAAAGAAGAGAGTCCGTTGTCTTGCCGTGCCAGTGAGTCATTCAGTTGGCATCCAACTTCAAATTTATTGATTTAAATCCAAACATCCTAATTAATTGTCATAATTTCATACAGATGGAAGTACAATTTAGAAAAGACTGATGGTGATCAGCTAGCTGTTCCCCATCTCCACTGAACAAACCAACCAAAACCCAAATGCTAAGGCTTCAGGTTAATCATAGGAAAAGTTCACCTGTGGTGAGGTTAGGAAGGGCAAAAAATTCCCCTGTGTAACAAAGGAACAGAAACTGGAATGCCCTGTTTGGATATGTTTTAAAATAGTTTGAGCCTTATCTTTTTAGGAAGGCTTAATGCCATCCTGCTGAAACCAAGAAGATACAAGATGAGCTCAAAGGGGCTTTGAGCTTATAATTAAAGAACTTTGTGATGCTTTGCTTTCAATTTAAGATATCCATCTTTCTCCTTTGTAATAGGTGAAGAGGAAACTGCTTCTGTTGCTTTACTTTGGTTAAGTAAGGAAATCACTACTTAGACACTCATAAAAGGAAGTAGCCCAATTTTCCCTCTGCCCAAGTATCCTAAGCCCTATACTCATATTCACCTTGTGATTTTAGAAGGTCTTGTCATGTTTGCTTGCAAATCAGGAATTTCCAACAGAAACAGAACTCCCCTGAGAGGATTAAAGTTTCTATGGATAATAGAGATTTTCTGACGCCTGAAGGTTTTGCAAGACCTACTGCTCTTCCAGAGCAGTGCTCCCCAACTGATCCATGGCCTGTTAGGAAGTGGCCCGTATGGCAGGAGGTGAGTAGTGGGCAAATCAGCAAAACTTCATGTGTATTTACAGCTCTCCCCTACATTTGCATTACCGCCTGAGCTCTGCTTCCTGTCAAATCAGCTGCAGTGTTAGCTTCTCACGGGAGTGCAAACACTATTGTGAACTGCTCATGCAAGAGATCTAGGTTACATGCTCCTTATGAGAATCTAATGCCTGATGACTGAGGTGGAGCAGAGATGATGATGCTGGTGCTAGGGAGTGGCAGCAAATACAGATGAACATTAGCAATGAGGTTTGACTGCACAGAGACCATCATAAATCAATTGCTTGCAGACTCATATCAAAACTCTATATCCATGAGTGGCAAGTGAGTTGATGTACTTCAGTTGTACAGCTGGCAATCTTTAAGTCAGAATGAGACACTTATTTTAGTTCAGTGTGTGCCGTGCCCATTATTTTATTTACCACTTCCATCTATGCCTCTTTTGTTTTTTATGGTGAGTTGTATAATTATTTCATATATTACAATGTAATAATAATAGAAATAAAGTGCACAATAAGTGTTATGTGATTGAATCAACCCTAAACTATCCCCCCTTCCTCCGTGGAAAAATTGTCTTTCACGAAGCCAGTTCTGATGCCAAAGGTTGGGGCCTACTGGTCCAGAGAATTGATGCTAAGGTGTTTTAGAACCTCAGGTTTGACCCAAATTAACTGTGCATCACTGATAGTCTTAAAGACCCCA